AGTGGAGTACCGCTCCAAGATGGCCGCCCTAAATCTCGTCAGTGACAATAGGAGAGAGCGGTGCATGAGGGTCTATCCTTATGTTATGTCTATGGTCATTACTGCATGAAACATGCATGGTGGACGCTGAGCCCTGATTGGACGGCTTCTCTTGTGTTTTGGTGCTGAAAGAAAATTTAAAGGGATAAAAACCATTTTTTCATTTTTTAGTTCCCAGCAGACGAAACAAACATGGCGGCAGCAGGAACCAAAGAAGCTCTAAGTGAACCGATGTTCAGAAGAACTGAGGTTCCATTGATCCAAACAGGAACTGTTCAGTTTGTTTCTCCTGGTTTCCAGTTTAAAGGCACTTTTCGCAGCGCTGCGGCGAAAACCGCTTCAGAAAGAATCCTCTGCTGTGAGGACCAGTCGCTCACGGAGTGGATTTGGGAAAAAACAACCAGAAAACATGGAAGATCCAAACCTGAAGGCACATTTGGGCCCTGGAGAACCGTCACAGTCATTCTGGTCGCATTTCCTCCTGCAGGCTGCAGGGGGGGGGATCATGGGCGGGATGAGAAACCCTAAACCTTCTAGTGTTTATGTGGCTGAGGGCGGGGCTTAGGCGTGGCGGTGGGCGTGGCCTAGTCATGAGTGAGGGCGGGGCCTAGGCGTGAGTGAGGGCGGGGCCTAGGCGTGGCTGTGGCTGAGGGCGGAGTCGCTGCTCAGGTCATTCCTGATTACCTCGTTGACTGGAAGGAGAACAGAGACGCAGTTAAACTTTCAAGTTCAATAAAAACTAAAAGTCAGGGTGCTGTGATGGCGCAGGGGTTAAGCACAACCCATGTATTGAGGCCTTGGTCCTCATTCCAATGGTCACAGGTTCAATTCCCGGCCTTGTGATATTTGCTGCATGTCTTCCCTCTTTCCTGTCAAACTACTTTTAAATAAAGGCCACTAGAGCCAACAAAACCTTTAAAACTAATTTTCTCACAAACGAACATCTAAGAACTGTTTAATCTTTTCAAAATTATTTTCAAAATTTAATTTTTTTTTTAATTTTTATATTAAAATTTCTTTAACCTGTTGTTCACAGGTTGTCATTCACAATGACAGGGGTGTCAAACTCCAGTCCTCTGCTGTCCTGCAGTGTTTAGATGTGCCACAGGTAAAAAACAGTGGAATGAAATGGCTTAATTACCTCCTCCCTGTTCTCCTGAGCCTTGCTAATGACCTAATTATTCTTTTCAGGTGTGGTGCAGCAGAGGCACATCTAAAAGTTGCAGGACAGCGGCCCTTGAGGACTGGAGTTTGACACCCCTGTCACGAGAGGACCCAAATTTGGGTCCTCTCGTGAATGACAGGGTAATAAGGGTTGCTTTTCATATTTGACTATTTAATTTTATTATGTATGTTTTATTCCCAATGTTCAGCAGAGAAAATCATTTGCTGAAGTTTGTTGCTGGGCAGATCAGACGCTTCGGGTCGGACCAGAACCTGCAGAACTCCTCTGGGATTAACCAATCAGCTTGTTTATCTCGTTAAGGATGTGCGGGATCGGGGATCCGCCTCCTGGAGGCCGGGAATTCTGGTCCAGGGAACCGTTCCCTAATGGCGTGGCGAAGGATCAATCCAGAACCGGACCGGCGGCTCGTTAATCTGGAGATTTTAACTTTCTGCTAAATAAGAACTAAATGAGTTCAGAGTTCATGTTAGGGAATTATTATTATTAATATTATTATTATATCTGTTTCCCAAAGAAAAGACGCGTCAGGATCTAAAACATGTTTTGTCGCTTCATCCTCTGGAGGTCGGACTGACGATCTGGACTGAGACGAGCCGCCGCTCGCTCCTCTGATGGCGGCTGGTTGGCGTTTCTTCTTGGACCGTTCCCCTGCCCCCAGCGCCGCCGTGCTGAGGTCATCGGTCTGACGGGACGCAACAGGAAGCAGCTGCAACGTGTGCAGCTGCCAGTGGGTCAGAGAGCTGCAGGAGCTCCTCTTCCTCAGCATGATGAAGGCTCTCCAGAGTTTCTGCTCCGTCGGGTTCTAGCAGCTGGTTCCTCTGGTTGACCCGCAGCTCGCTTCGTGAATGAATCACGAATGAAGCGGCAGAAAGGTCAAAGGTCGAGCTTTTCCTTTCTGCAGCTCCATTTCTACCCGACGGCAGCAGAAACATTTAAGAAACGTTTTAAATCCAGAAACAGATTTTAATGTTTGATGAAACTCTTGCTTGATTTCCTGAATCAAAACTTTTGACCTCTGACCCCTGAAAACAGAAGCTTCCTCTCACCATCATCCAGGTACATCTGGTCCAGCTCCTGCGGCTCTTCCTTGATGCTGACCCGCCCTGCAGGTTCAGGGGCCTCCGGGGGGCCCGCAGGCTGGGCCGGGCTCTGGGGGAACGGGGTCGGGGAGTCTGCAGGCGAGGGGGGGCGGCGGGGGGCTTCCTGGATGATGGAGGCGTGGGGGGGGGGCCTGGAGAACGGAGACAGATCCTGGAGTTTGGGGCTGGAGGCGGGCGAGCGGCCGTAGGCCCCGCCCACAACGCACGGCCTGAGGTCGGAGGTCACCGGGGTGGCGACCTGGGGGCCATAACACGGCTTTGGGTGCAGCGACGCATGCTGACTGCACAGCAGGGCGGCGCTGTAGTCGTCATGCGGCTCTGTCTTTATCGTCGGAACTGAAAGGAGAAGAAGAACTGGATCAGAACCGAGACGCTCCGATCTCGGTTTGAGTCGGAACGCCTTCTGGAAACGGAAAAATCTGGAAACACTTTGCAACACAGCCACAGAGGCAGCTCTGACCCGGGGCTGTGAGCAGGAAGTGAGCAGGAAGTGAGCAGGAAGTGAGCGAGCTTCTGTAGGAAACAGTCGGCAAACAGAAGCAGAAGTGAAAATGGTTTCTTTATGTCTCAAAATAAATCTGCTTTGGAGTTTTAACACCTGCAGCCGCACAGAGAAACTTTTCCACTTGTTTCCTGAAGAGCTGCAGCTTCTGGTCATTCCAGCGTTTCCTCTAGTTGCTGCCGTTTCTCTGGACAATGTTCCGCTTTCACAGCGGGGAGCTGCAGCGCCCCCTGTGGGGCGGGACCGGGCGCTGCAGCCCTGCTGCAGCTTTGAACAGCCCACTGCATTTCTCTCCAAGGCTGCGGGGCGATCCGCGGTGGGTCAGGGTTTATTTTTAGCGGGCAGGAAGCGGGCCGCTCCCAGCCTGCTGCACGAAGCTGCAGGTACGGAAAAGAACAGATTTTATGATTTCTGTTTTACAATGGACGAATAAAAGTGTTGCTTTGTTCCTCCCAGGCTGACCGCCGCGGCGCGGGGGACAAAATGTTTCCAATTAGTCTGAGACGGACGATCAGGAAACCAGAAGGAGCCGAGAAGCGGAGAGGAACGACAGAATAACGAGCGTTTGTTTCCGCCAGGCATCGTCATGGAAACGGCTGAAAGGAAGAAAACTAAAACCTGGAGCAAAAACATGAATCTGTCTGCTATATGAAAATTAAAGAGGAAATGTTCAGGTTTCTGCCTGTGGGGGGCGCAATAAGACATGGGTGGAAACCAGTTCAGTGCCATCAGTCTTGGCTGCAGCACCAGTTTAACCAGTTTAACCCTATTTCAAAGAAGCCGAGAGCAGATGAGGACCCAAAGCCAGGTGGTGGAAGCATTATGCTGTGGGCTTCCTCCCCCAGTAGTAGGAGGAATAGTAAAGACAACAGATAACAATAAATTCACACATCCGGCTCTAATCCCAGTGTTTCTCGGGGGCTCACCGTTGGTGGGAACGTAGGAGAAGCGCTGCAGCTGACTTCGCTTCCTCTTGCCGTTGCAGACGTAGAAGTTGACGTGAACGGGGGCGCAGAGGCGCTGCGTCCGGTACGGCGGGATTTCAACCAGCAGTGAGTTCTGCAGCACAAAGCATTTCCTGTTCCTGTCAGAAAAACTCGACTTCCAACAACCCAAATGTCTCAGTAATCTGAGGAAAACGCCTCATCCATCGGCCGATCGGTCCGATTAGTGAAACTGGACCGATGCGACGCAGCAAAGCATCATGGGTCGTTTCATTAAGGTGTTGAAAGATCAGAGAAATATTAATATCAGTGAATATTGATTATCAGCCGAAACAGCAATAACTGTATTGGTTAAATTCATCAGATGAATTATCTGGATTTCTAACCAATCAGCAGTTAGAGTTGCTGGTCAAACTGGGACCAGTCCAGCAGCCTGGAAACTGGCCAGCTGACCTCTGACCTGCCTTTTATAATAATGATTTATTTATTTATTAAGAATCCAAACAAACACATGAAAACTTGTTGCTTCTCTAAACCGCAGAGTCTGGACCAAATTAGCAGTTAACCTTTATTTGTCCTGGATTACAATATCACCAGGTGACCTTTGACCCCATCCAATCACTGAACAGATGCTGACAACAAATCAATGTGTGGATGAGACAAAAGTTTATGAAGTTATTAAAGAGGAACAATCAAGAGTTATAGATCTAGAGTTATAGATCTAGACCCGTGTTTCTCCACCCTGGTCCTCAGGCCCCCTGCTCTGCATGTTCTAGATGAGCCTCTGTTCCAGAACTGCTGATCCAAATGACTGCAGGACCATCAGGAGCTGCAGATCCTGTTAATCACCCAGAGATACAATCCAGGTGGCAGAAGGGAAACACCTGAAACATGGAGGACAGGAGGCCTGAGGACCAGGATGGAGAAACACTGGAGTAGAGTAAACACACAGTTATTCCAGCCAATAACCATCTGAACTTTGACCTGAACCTCCAGAGCCACATAAATCCATAAATCGGTTCCAAAGTCGGCCTTCTACCAGCTAAACAACATTTCCAGGACCAGAGGACTAATGGCAGACCTCTCAGGTTCTGGTTCTGCTCTGCATCCAGAACCAAACATGGAGAAGCAGCATTCAGCTTCTATGCAACACAAATCTGGAACAAACTTCCAGAAAACTGGAGAACAGCTGAAACACTGAGTGCCTTTTACTCAGCTGTTAGAGCAGAACATTTCTCTTCCTGTTCCTCTGATCTTCAGGTTTTCTGCTTGTTTTCTTTTGTTTCTAATCGTGTAAAAGCGGCGAGCTGCTGATAAACGAGCCCGTTTCTGAATGCAGAGCTGCTAACTGAAACAACAGAACTGAAAATGTGACGGACACGCAGATCTGTGTCCAACAGGAAGTGACTTGATGGGTTAGGGTTTCGCTGTCCAGTGAGCGTGAAGAACCCTTAGTTTGGTTTATTTTACAGATGATATGAAAAGTTCTTACCGGCCTCAGCGCGTCTCTCTCCACCGTGGCCTCGCTCTCCCAGACATGGTGGCCGTCTGCATGAGACAACATGGCGGATCAGAAAACCGTAACATCACAGGCGGATACATCGGGTCGTTCCTCAGAGCCCTGCGCCGCAGCCAGAACCCCGGCAGCTGCCTGGCCCGTTGACAGACCCGACCGGAACCTGATTGGCCAATCAGTTTTTCCCGCGGCGCCGCAGCAACCGAGACTCCCTGCTGCGTTTTATTCGAGGTGATCCGAGGCGACTGGCCAATCAGGCGTCAGTAAAACTTTATAGCCGGGTGAGCTGAGTGAAGCTGTCTGAGTGGTGAGCGCTCCGTTTGTCCAGGTTTGATATATTAAAAATACATTTTTTAAGGTCATCCAGAGGTCACCATCCCCCATCTTGCTCCAAAACAAACCAAAAGCGGGCTCCTTCGTTAGTGCAGGTTTGTGCCGTTAAAACTGTTTTCAAGTTGGATGTTGGAGCGAGCGGCGTTTAGCTCAAGGGTGATCCGATTTATGAGCGCCGACTTGGGCCAGCCGTTCTCCACGGCTCCCTCCTCCAGCGGACCGTCAACACATTTCCGCACCAAACACTAAGAAACAAATGTGAATAGAAATGTGGCCTTGTGACCAACTGACACAAGATTCATGCTGTTACAATAGATGCACTGTTCTCTAGAGAATTTTTAAGTCATACTCAATATTTTTAATAATTGTAATATTAAAAAGTATAATATTTTTTCTTCAATAGCTTCCAAGTCATGTGCCCTATTGACTCAATCAGTGTGAAACTGTTCTAGACAGGTGAGATGAGGTACACTCATTTTTATTGCATTATTTTATTATTGTAGCATTTTTTTTGGTCGAAATTTAGTATCTTTCTTTTATAGCTTCTGGCTCATGTGACCCATTTACACTGAATCAGTGTGAAATCTTAACACGTTTTGTCATGCGTTAAGATTTTATGGTGTTAAAAGAAAAAGCCGTGAACATTTTCATCAGACTGTAAAACATTGGACTCATATAACTCAAAAAGGGAGTAAAAACTGTAATTTATTGCACTTCATCTGTGAAATGAAACCCACCGTTTTAGGGTTGACATGGTTAAGAAACGTGATAATGTGACGAATATCTTTAAAAGTTTGCGGTTATATTTCAGTCCGTTTTTCATCAATATGCGAGAGTTTAGAGCAGGGGTCCCCAAACTACGGCCCGCGGGCCGGATCCGGCCCGCCACGTCATTTGGTCCGGCCCCCTGAACGATGCCGGATCTGGCCCGCCTCCTCATACCAGAAAGCATTCAGTGTTTTTTTTTCATACATTGTATTTTCTGGTTTATATGTGGATTTTTCTTCAACCACCAGGGGGCTTGAGCAGATGTGAAACTAACTTTCCCTCAGTGGAATATATACTAGTCATTACCAGTCATCGTTTCACTCACGGATTTTTCCATTTGCATTCTGGGTAAAAATCTATCTAAAAGCGCGAATGTGTCGTCGCCGCCCACCCCCCGCTCGACAGTTTCAAAGACAGAACAGCTAAGGTTTCTGTCTCCAAAAACTAAGACCGGCCCCC